CGGGATAAGCAGATACGAGGTCGTATCGGAGCAACAGTCACATACATGAGACGTGGGACATGCGATGGGATGAGGAAGAGAAAGGGTAAAATAACGCATTGGTATGCGTGCTTTTGCATTCTTTGGCGTTCTTTGGGACGGGACTTTGGTTTCCGGGCCCGAGGTGAGGGGAAAGGGGGAAAAGGAGAGGGAAAATGAGAGAGGTTGAAGTAGATGGATGGAAAGACAAACGGGAATGGGACGGGAATTAACTAACCACTCCTTAAAAGTGTACATGCGCGGCGGCGAGTGCCGCAGGTGCTGAGTCACGCGCGCGATCTCGTCCATGAGGATGAGATGGTACTCGGCGCGCGACTTGGGGAGTTCAGTGGGCAGGCTCTCTCGCGCGATCGAGGCGGGGTGGCCGGGCGACTTGGGCGTCGATGTGGTAGTATCTTGCCTGGTCGGTGCAGGTTTCTCTGCCGTTGAAGGTATCGGGCCCGCCTCTCCTCTCTCGGCGTCCTTTCGCGCTTTGCGGTTGCTTTCCAGGTTGTCGATGTCGCTGGTTCTAGACTCGCTGTCCTCGTCACCGTCACCATCGCCGTCCTCGTCATCGGTGTCGTCTCGGCGCTCGCGGGCCGCTCCTAGGAAGCCGGGGACGTTCTCGTCGATCTCTTCGTCCTCGAATAGCACGCCACATGACAGCTTCGCCAGCACCTGCTTCGTCGACTTCCTGAAGCCGTGCTCGCCGGGGAGAATGGTGATGTTGCCGAGCAGTAGCGTGCCGTCTTTCACACCCTTTACGATGGTGTCGCCGGCGTTCGATATGAGGACCGTCATGGTGGGTAGGGCGAGCAGAGACCAGAAGACGAAGAAGGCCTTGGCGGAGTTTGATACTGGAGTGAGGTCGCCGTAGCCGATGGTTGTCAGCGCGGTGAAGGCGAAGTAGAAACCGTCGAAGTAGGACCAGCCCTGGTACGGGTTTTCACATTCTTGGAAGATCTTGGCGCCGACTAGCCAGAGGACTATCCATGTGCTAAAGGATACGGCCATGGCGGTCCATCTTTCCCTTATAGATGCTCTGCCTGGTGTTAGTATCCAAATGTAAAATGGGGATGTTACCACTCAAAGCCTCTATGCTATAAATGGTAGGGTCATGTAACTGATCATTCAGGCTTCAAGCTAGCCACAGCCCAGAGTAACTGGAGGACAAAGAATGCTAAATGACTTACTATCCTCTAATTAGCATCAAAGACAGTACTACGAAGAAAAAAAAGGGCGACAGTCTCAATCAACGTATTTTGAGACAAAGAAAGACGCCGGGGTACATTGAATAATGGATCACATACCTGGCGTTGGATTTTCCGCATCAGCTGGAACTCCTTCTGACGGCGTTCGAACTCCGACCAACGGGACCCCGAGGGAGAATCATCTGACCCGTCGTCGCCGACCGGTTCAAGAACATCACCCTTGCCCTTTCGCCTCATACGCCGAATCAGCGCTCTCCGTTGCTTCTCCAACATCCGCGCGTCGAGCCTATTCTTGCCTCGATCCAGAATCATGCTCCGGATCGATCCTATCACTAGACCGAGACTGATAACACCGATCAGCGCGTACGGCACCAGCAGCCCGCGGCCGAGTCTCGTCTGCGGCGAGAAATCGCCGAACCCCACGGTGAACAGGGTGACGTCGGCCCAGTACACGGCGTCGAGAAAATTCCAGCCTTCGATCTCGGAGAAGACGAGGGCGCCTAAGAGCAGATAGGCGAGGAAGAGGATGGTCTGGAGCATTAGTGTGCGCTGGCTCATTGTCAACTCGAAGTCCTTGCCGTAGTGGCCGGCTAGTGCGCCCCACGCCGTGACGACCATGAGGGACGCGACAATGAAGTACAGGATGGCAGCGTATAGGCCGTAATAAAAGGCTTGAGACCAGACATATTCGATTTCCGGTTGAAGAAGCAAGGGTCCGTCTGCTGTGGCGCATAGGGCTATGAGACAGATCGCCGATATGTACCAGCCGACGATAGTGATGGGCTGCGCGATCGAAAACCGCACCCTCTTGGTCATGTTGAGTAGGAGGAAGGCGTTCGCAACCAGTGCGATAACCAGTTGGACGCCGTTCACTGCTAACAGCCATGGCGGGTCTTCGATGAAGACGGCCTTGGTAACGTCGGAATTGGGGAGGATGTGTTGGCGCCAATTCTTAACTAAGGCGCATATGCTGAAAGCTGAAGCCACGGGCCCTAGCGTGCCAGCTATCAGGGGGAATGCGGCGGAGGCAAACCACCAACGGCTTTATAGCGTTTAGATATTTAGTAAAAAAGGTCAGGTGAGTACCTAGGGTATATATGAGTTGGTCGCTTACCTAGGATCAAGATGGATCTGATCGGTCATGATACCACCATTGTGACCACTCTCGTCGATGGCCGAGCCATCAACGTCTTTCGCTTGATCGCTGATGTTGTTGCCTAGATCTGCATCGTCCATCTCGATAATTGCGCAGCTCGTTCCTCATACTTGAACTGTCTGTAACCGGATCGAGTAGTAGGACTGCGTCCCTCTCGACGTGATGGAAAAACTTGTAGGCTGAGCGTATAAGATTATAACAAAGACATATAACTCTAAAGACAGGATGATACAAACTAACCTACAGTTCTCAGCAGCTAGGTATTGAACGCCTTCTACAAAACAGTAGAGAAGCCAAGGTCTACGAGAACCGACGTTCAGATAGTATTTACAGAACAATAAGTTAGGTATGTTTATATTTACAACAAGATTCAGGGCAGACAAAGACTAGGTCAGGCGGCCCCGTCGTGGTGTGGATGGGCCCCGTGGGATGACGTCGCTTGGCATCCTGTTGGAGATGCTAACCTACATAGTAGAGACCGGGGTTGGCCGGGATTAGGGGAACGCTGCCCTGGAATGCTAGATGATTCGCGTTTTGCCGTGCGCTAACATCTAGGCCCCCTCACCTAATTTTCATCGGTCGACGCGCCCAAAATACCGACCATTTTCTTGACTTCCCTGCATCTCATCGATGCGCTCGATGGAGTCAATGGAATAATTATATCTTAGAACAATTGAGTTAAATGAGTTCTTCCAATTCGAGGCCTTATGAATACCAAGTCGTAAAGAAAAGAAGATGAGAAAATGCATCCCGGCTAGGAGCTTATTAGTATTTGCAGGCCTTCGCGGCCAGAAGCTAAGAGGCTTTAGCACCGTCGTCAACAATGTGGAACGAGTAAGCGTTCGCAATGGCTCGTCGGGTACCTTCACCATTGAGTGAGTCCGCCATTTTGAAACCTCTATGCGGTGAGAAGATTGCTTGTTTCTAATGAGTGCATAGTCTTCACAACATCGCCAAGGTGTCGTCGTTAGACCCCTTATTAGTGTATCTGCCGCCATATTCGACGTCACTTACAGACAAGCCACTACAACTGCCAAAGTTCATGCAGAGGCGGCCGGCAGCTGTGATCAATTATCGCTGGACTGGATTTACTGCTTTCGAGGCTGAAGATGTCTCGGCACAATTGGATGAGGATAGAGATGCTCACCTGTCCTGGCCAGCTCCGATCCACGATGCCGCCAAGGCATACGACTGGATCGTCGAGAACCTTGGCCCGTCGACCTATACCCGTAGAGATATATATCTCTATGGCTCCTACCTGGGAGCGTCGCTCGCAACATCGCTAGCGCTGACGGAGACGCACCCGCATGCACGTATGGGCGTCCGAGGGTGCCTCGCGTACAACGGGATCTACAACTGGACCATGTTTCTCCCCGACCACCCCATCAACAAGCTGCCGAAGCTGCGCACCATGAGCATCCTGGAAGAGATTCTAACACAGCCGCACGACCCCGTGTTTCGCGACCTAAAGCAGCACGCCGAGGCGCTGTTTGGGCGCCCGGGTAACCTGTTCGACCCCTTCGCCAGCCCGTGTCTGTTCTTTCACACACCGGGGCTTCACGTGCCCCCGTCGTTCGACGCCTCGGCCATCCCGCAGGCGTCACCCCTCCCCGACATAGCTAATGACCTGCTGGGTGTATTCGCACCCGTCAAGGCGCCTCGCAAGAGCGCGCTCATCTTCCCGCCGCGCAAGTCGACACTCAAGATCCCCGAGACCTTGCTTCTGTACTCGCCTCCGCCGCCTCTACCGCCATCGCCTCTAAGGCGACGACAGCGGCGGAAAAAGGAGCCTCTGGGAAATAGCTTCGCAGCGCAGGCCGAGGAGCTAGCCGCGCTGATGCGGAGGAGCATCGACAAAGTCGAGCTGAAGGAGCGGTTGATATGGGACGACGAGTTCGACGGTTGGAATGACGAGGCCGTTCGGAGGGTGCAGGTCGCAGACGTAGGGCCCAACGCGGGAGATTGGGAGCTCGATGGGAAGGGGGAGGATGTGGCTGCGGCTTGGTTGGAAGATCGTATTTCGCATGCGAGGTGAGGAGGGTCGACTGAGGGCGCAATTACCTAGGTTGTACCTTCTTTAATTTAGGTACCTAGTATTACCGTAGATACGGTTGCCTTAGGTACATACTTCAGTAGATGCTTAGAGGGCGTAGATATATATCCGAGTCTGAGTTCAGTAGCCTGAGTTTGCGCAGCAACAAGATGGCGATTACCGAAGCTTAAGGAAATAGTTAAAAGCTCTTCTTTCTCATCCGTAGCGTGGTGCCAGTTTCCTTCCCAGTCGACGTCAATTCCAGCGTCGTAAGTACCTATCTAACCTACTTACCTCCTTCCCAATTCGCTGTCGGGGCTCTTGCATGACCCAACCAGCGCAACAACCCGACCGCCTAAAACAAAACAAATTCAACTCGACGAGTTACCTGTTTGACCTGTCTTTACAATTGACGAAAGCTCCTCGGTGACCCCATTACACTCGACTCATTTCTCTTTCCTCCCATTCCTTCAGCTAACCAATTTTCTTAGGTCAGTTTCTAAGGTAAGACAGTTAGTGGGGTATGCGCTCACGACATTTACACTATATAGTGTACGCTAAACAGCCAAAATGTAACCACAGGGGTCTGATGGTCTAGTGGTAGGATTCTCGCTTTGGGTCGAACGTCCCATACAAAGGAGTTCTTCATTGCGAGAGATCCCGGGTTCAATCCCCGGTCAGACCCTCACTTTTTGTTTTTCATCTGGTGAGATGGAATTAGTTGGAATCGAAAGAATTCAAGTCGTGGATGATGTTCTGAGTTTTTGACAACGAGATTGATGAAATTGCGTGGTTTTTGCTGGTTCGCGTGCTTATTATTGGCTAAGAAAGTTTATTTCTATGGGCAAGGCGCATCCCGGGTTACCGGGTAAAAATGAAGACATAAATCGTAGCTAGGTACCTTTATATAGTAACGGGGCGGAGCTCTGTATCCAAGGCTTCAAGGCGGATGCCTAAGAGGTTGGAAATAGTAAATATGCATTGATCAGTGTAATAATAGGGTGAAATGATGATTGTAATTGCTTGGGGCTGAAAGTGTAAGAGACATCCGTTCAAAATAGTTGGCCTAGCCACTCTGCCCCGTTACACTATCACTCTTAACAACTTGATCAAAGAGATTAATATACAAACTGATGAAATTATCTAGGTTAGGTAGCTTAGGTGAAACTCCGTTTCTCTATGAGTGTGTGTGGATATTAGAAACAACCACATCATTATTGAAGACACCGCAAATTTATTCATTCGTATAGGCTTTAGCCAGCCTCTGTCAGGTAAAGGGTACAAGCAAGGAAGGTGCTACATACACTGTGGAGGTATTTTATACCTTGGACCTACTGGAGGACCTTCTACACTCTTACAACATCACATCCATACCTAATTGCAATCCACCTCTTTTTCTGTCTACCTGACTGCCTGAGCATTTGTATGTACCACTCTAAGCACTTCGTCCCATATACCAGGAAGACTATCCTATGTCCACCACCTATGTCATCCGGAGTCCGGAGTCCGGACCTTTCTATTGCACATTCCTCTATATTCCCTTATAAGCCGAAAAGGAAAACCCGAGAGTATATGCGTTCCTCCTCCCTTTACTTATTACTTCATGAAAAACTCACCAACCCCGTTTCCACCACGGCTTCTTCTTATCGTTATACCCCTCCTCCTGTACATTATGCTGGCCGACGATCGTTAGGAACACCTGGTCCAGGGTCGTCGGCGTGCATGAGAAGTGCTCGATACCGAGCTCTTCCTTGTGCTCCTCTAGTATCACGATAAGCCGACCGACTGCGCTGCTGCTACTGCTCGCGCTCGTGATTTCGTCACCGTCCGCTACTGCCGCCCCCGCGATCGCGCTGGCCGGTACCGAGAAGCGCATCTGTCCGTGGTACGTCTTCTGCTCCACTTGCGCGCCGGGCCATGTCTCCAGGACCCAGGCGCGTACGCGCTCCATCTCCTCTTGGCTCGAGTGAGGCGCCGTCTTGCTGACGAGATGCACGTGTAGCGCATCGCCGAAACGCTGACGTAAGTTGTCGGTTGTGCCCATAGCCAGCATGCGCTTGGCTAGAATACCCGCGCGGTTGGCGAGCGCATCGGCCTCCTCCATGCTGTGGGTGGTAAGCAGGATCGAGCGCCCGGGCACGATCGAGTGCAGCGTCCGCCACATAATACGCTTGGCAGCAGCGTCGAGTCCCGAAGACGGCTCGTCGAGGAGTACGACGCTGGGGTTGCCCATTAGCGCGATACCTAGGGATAGCTTGCGCTTGTTACCGCCGGAGAGCGCGTGCGCCATGCGCGTCGAGAAGGCCTCGAGACCGACGGCGCGAAGGACGGCTCGGACGTTGTGCTCGATGTCGGGAACACCCCGAATACGCGCATAGAAGCGCAGATGTTCAAGAACCGTCATTTGATCTATGGCGTCGAATTGCGGACACACACCCAGGTGAGCTCTAGCCTGAGCGCGATGGCGGCTGACGGACGTGTTCTCGACGAGGACGTCGCCGCCATTGAAACTTGGCTGGATATCACCGCGAATTAAAGAGATGGTCGTTGACTTTCCAGCTCCATTAGGTCCCAATAGAGCAAAGACTTCGCTGTGTTGGACACCAAATGTGACATTGTCAACAGCTGTGTTCTTGCCAAAGGTCTTAGTGAGATGTAACACCCGCAGACCATCGCTCTCCCGAGGTGTGCTGGTTACACGAACGAGTTCATTGGCTATCTCTTCATCCGAAGCAGCTGCGTGTTCAGTAGACGGAGCCTTCTTAGGCATGAGACGATTGAGAAGAGTTCGTCCTGATCCGCTATCGTGCCACAGTAGGAATCCGAATAGGAGGACCGATTGCACAAGCAGATATAATATTGGTCCGCCGTAAGCAATCAAGGCACCGGGGTTGCTTTGGATCTGGTCCCCGTCGCAAGTAACCGAAAAGAGGTTAAGAGCAAGGAACATCGTCCGCACGACCGAGCCGATCGGTATGAAAACCGATATCACGAAATGGGCGACCAATATGGAATTATCGATTTGGTTAACTGGCGCATACGTAATGACACACAGATACGCAATCAGATAAATCAAGAACCCGACGGCCTGACCGGCTGCGGAGAAGGCGTAGGTCGACAGCTGGTTTCTGCAGAATAGAGAGATGACGTACGAAAACAAGATGGATGCCAGGCCGTACAGTATGAAGATGAGGAAGAGATAGGCAACGTGGTACCAAACATCAGACTGCGCTGCGAATATACCGACTACTAGTGCGGACGAGACGAGTACGATGGCAAAGTCGAAAAGGGTGTAGGATACCCAGAGTGGAAGGGATCGCACTCCGTTCGAATACTGCAGTCCACGGACGTTTCGTCTGCGTTCGATGTTCGGATAAAGACCAAAGAAGGCAGGATAGATGGACATGGCCAAGCAGAAATAGATAAGCAGCTGCAAGGAGTCTCCAGTCGAGGGGTTCCAAGGGGTATCGAACGGAGCGTAAGCTGTGGCGATGGTCGTGTTACTCAGGATGATGTCTAGGGCATTTTGACTGAAGATGGACGTGTATACGTCGCCTTCATCCGCTTCGTATGTGATAGTGGGTAGCGAATTTGCATCTCCAACCCACCATCCGCCAGGCTTGATATCCTTTCGATACTGTTTGAGGAAGGCGTTGAATTCGTCGAGAGAATCGACGCGATGGATACTCTCAATGAAAGAAGTTGCCAAACTAGAGTTACCTCCTGTTGTCGCGTTATCCGATCCCTGATATTGACCCTGACTCTGGGATTGGATAATGGGAAGAAAGAGGCTCTGCACACTAGCGTTATTGATCTGTGCCGACGGGCCGGCAAACAAGAATAGGTCATTATAGAGATCCGAAGAGCCCGTAGAATCAGACGTGCTTTGGTTGGCCGGGCTGCATCCTACTGGGTGCTGATCGGTAACATAAAGGGACACTAGGGCCGCAGCTATGATCGGAATTAAGAAAGCGGCCACATATGGGAACCAGTTCGTCTTGAAAATAGTACATCGCTTCATGAACAGCACCGCTGTCTGCCTCATATAGCCGATCGGTCGTCCTGACAGCAACTCCAGCCCGTCTTTCTCGACTTCACTGGCCGGTGTGAATTTCTCAAAGTTCACTTGCTTGTCGTTCTCGGCTTCGGCAGATGATATGGTCTGTGGTGGCGATCTTGTGTCCCCTTCAGAGTTTACTTGCTTGTCATTACTGGCTTCTGGAGAGGAGAAAGTCTGTGCGGGCAAGATAGCACCCTCTCCTTTGACTTCCTCGGCAACCTGTAGGAAAACATCCTCGATAGTCGGGTTTGAAAATTTGTAGTCGTGGATTCCTGCGGCCTCCAAGGCTCGTATAACGTCTGCAGCCAGGCTAGAAGATGGCGCGATGTAACTAATCACATCGAATCCTATCTTGCGGGTAACATTCGCGACCTCCGGAGGATCTTTGATATCTCTAGCGTTGAAAACATGGACGCGGTAGCCAGCACCCAGTCTATCTTTCAGCTCGACGGAAGAACCTTCTGCTCGCAATGTACCTTTGGAGAGGATGGCGATGTGGTCCGCAAGGAGATCAGCTTCGTCGAGGAAATGAGTCGTGAGGATAATGGTTCGCTTTCCACGCTCGGCGAGAAGGATATCCCAGATCTTTCGTCGGGAGAGGGGGTCGATTCCGGAGGAGACCTCATCGACACAACAAACAGCACTCCCTCCGGTCAACATCATCCCAAGCTGCAGCTTTCGCTTTTGGCCACCGGACAGCGTCTTGGACAAAGCCTTAATTTTGGGTCCAAGATCGACAGCGATAGCCAAGTCGCGAATCTCTTGCTTCGATGCGGTATTCTTGGGAGACTTTAGTCGGTTGAAAACCTCGATGTGTTCTTCAACCGTCAATTCGTCCCACAAGACATTCTTCTGCGGCGCGATACCTAAGCCTCCAGTACCATCGATTGTGATCTCTCCACTGGTCATTCGACTAATACCCGCAATCGAGTCAAGTGTCGTACTCTTTCCGCTGCCATTGGCACCGAGTAAGGCGAGGATCTGTCCCCTTCTCGCAGTGAGAGTCAGTTTGTCAACAGCCACGACGGGCTCCTTCGGCCTCGAACTAAACGGAAACCATCGAGCGAAAGGATTAGGGAAGTAAATCTTGGTAAAGCCCTCCAAGCGCACCGCATCTTGCGGCGCCGTTTCAGCGGTTTGGCCTTGAAGTATTGTGCGACCGTTAGTCGTAGTGCCATGGAGTGCGCGTTCGAGGTAGGCACCGAGGATAGGGTAGACGATAATCTGAATGATGAGAAACACCCAGAAGACAATGCCAGGCAAGTTCCAGGGGTTCTCAGGTGGATTTCTAACCAGGTCGGCCGGATACGAGTATCGTTCATATCTGGCTATAAATGTCAAGAACCAAACGAAGTTACATGGCGTCTATATTAGCGATGGGTTAGCTAGTTATTCCAAACAGTTGAAGGGGTTTAGGACATGTCCAGGTGCGAATGGCTCCTGAATCGGCCTTGTCCAAGGCCGACATCCAGGATAGTAGAGGGAAGACGAGAAAAGGGTAAAAATGCATACGAAGAGCAGACTGAGAGTTGTGACTGTGGCAGTACTGGGGGACGTCAATGTTTGCGCCAGGATTGCTAGCAGGATATACGCTATAGTCGTCACAACGCCTGATAACTGTGATC